GAATACATTATTTATTGAGTCTAAAATAATTTACAGCAAGGAAACAAAAATTTCCGTTACGGGAAAAGCCTCCGAAAACTTGCTTTAAAAATAAAACCAAAGTGATTGTTTTCTGCCCACCTGCGTTGTCAGACAGGAAAAACAACTTTCTGCACTTTTAGATTCAATAGTGAAAAACATTATTGCAAAATGAAGCGGGTCGATTAGGCTTAGTTTTTGATATTAGAAGCAAATGCATTTTTTTTAAGAATTAGATTATTTTTTCTGACAGTGGTGTGTTAAAAAGATCAAAACAATAATTAGTTAAATATAAATAATTAGTTTTAATGGAGAGGCAGATTGTTTACCACGAATACGATAATAAAAATTCCTCTTTTAATATCGCAATTTTAGTATGATTTGTTTCTCTGTTAGTGTTATTATTTGCATGGTACTTTTTTCTGCTTGTTTCTTTTGAAAAATGTTTCATTTAATGGAATACAAGCTTACAGAACGAGATACTGCATAAGCTATCAGTGGCTTAGCTACAGATTTTGGAGCCAGGAGAGATTCGTTCATGCACCTCTTTCGATGTATCTCAAAAGATTTGTATCAAGTCAAAATGACATACACAGAAGTGTCTCTCAGCAAGTAATATTCACAGCGATCGTGAGTAAAAATCGCAGTAATGAAAAGAAACAAATGAAGCTTTGTAATTTCTTTAGACATTCTGTGCAATGTTATGAAGAATTGTTTTCTCAGTTTTCTTCTGTATGAGTTAACATTTCTGTATGTCTGTATTCTCCTGATTTTTCACCTCACCAGTAATCAAGTAAATAAGACAGCTGAATACTAATAGTTGGATCTACTGTCAAATCCGCGAAAACAAGATAGGATGAGCTTCATGAACGTTTTTGTGGTTTAACTTATATTCAGCGTAAAGTACATATTGTTGTATACATGCATACATGGCGCCATTATGCCACTTCCGGGTTTTAAGCCCTTTGTGGAGAGCCATAGTCCTCCGTGAAGACGTACCTTTCCTTACTTAGCCCAAGCCCACAAGCGCGAACTTTGCTTATTATGAACTCTCGCTTTACACAAGTGATTAGAGACTTAGTGACTCTACGGTCTTTGTTTTGCAGAGCACCTTCGTATCGTTTTACTTGTACATAGTCCTTTACATATTTAATCAAGATTTTTACATAGTTAATCCTAGAAAATATACCTAGCGTGTAAACAGTATTTCTTGTGTATCTCACCCTCACCCAAGCAGCATCCCGAGGGGTCAAACTTTGGGAGGGTGACCCATATCACGTGATCGTCCTGCTATAATTTAAAGTTCTATTTCGTCTATTTTTGGAGAGGATTGGCTATGGAAACTTGTAAATAGTTTTACTTACCCCCTGAAAACTCATGTAAAAATATTTATTATGATCTTTTGTACTTATTTATTTGTATATTGTTTTAAATGAGATATTTCCAGACTTATCTCTGCAACCAACCAGATGCCTGATTCGTCTCACGTGGCAAGGTATCACTCCCTCTCCCAAGTACCGTCTTATCTACAGCACCAGATGGGGATCATGTACTCTAATCTCTACATCGCTTCAAGCAACACAGCTAATGATTGCCGGAAGCAAACTTGATTTTTTCTCAAGTTAAGTTCGGCTATAGTGGAACCTGAAACCTGGCCGAGCGGTTAAAGCTGCTGAACAGTGGGCTGGCTGAATGGTTTTCGTGGTTCTACCCATGTGTAACGTGTATACCAGCCAGTTTTCTTCAGAAATTCCCACACGAAGACATCCCTCCCCTTAGGCAGATAGCCTTAGGGAGCTTTGCCGTAATCAACTAAACCTCAAAACCATAAAACTGTCATCCATCAGATTTCAGCTCACCTCTATGTGGAAATTTTGCCCCTAGTAAGATAAATGAGCTAGGGTGGGAATAATAATAATAATAATAAATAAATAAATAAAAAATAAGTAAATAAAAAATAAATAAAAAAAATTATTTTTGAGCCATTCGTTTAATATAAGAATATAAACCTATATCTTCCTGAACTCTGTAAACAGTTGGTTTTAAACAGTTGGTTGGTTGGTTTTACCATTTTCATCACATGTTTTCCTAATTACCAGACTCATTTTTTGAAATTCTGATAAATATCAACACGTTTATGTTGTTCATAATGATTAAATTATTACTTTCGATATCTGAATATTTTTATAATATTTAATTAAAGCAAATTTGCTCCTTTTGGCATTCAATTACAAAAGCGTACTACTTCGTTCTTAAGAGCTTTTATTAAATGGAATACTATTTTACAAACTTCCCTAGCATGGGAATGAATCACCTGTATTATGCGAACTCGAAAATTTTATATTTTTATCTTTATTGATTAATACTTAACTAATGTGTTTGTCTCATACTTATCCGGAACAATTTTTTACTTTTTGAACTAAATCTATAAGAGTTCAGGATTTTTTTTAATGGTTTAAATAGTGCTAGTATTTCCGGTACTTCCCTATTACATGACTTAAGAGTAATTTAAAATGTTTTATTCTTTTAGTGTTACAATAAAGTTTTTTACGAAAGGTACATTTCGGTAAATATCATGCGTACAGCATACAAATTATTGTATCTTATTTTGTGGAATTGCTACCTTTGTTTCGCTCTAGAAACGTATCAATCACAAAAATTTAGCATATTCCTGTCTTGCTTATAATATATTCACTTCTGAAATTTGCATTCAGTTTTCTTGGAAAGTATTAGCAGTTTTTTAGGATGGATTTAAAATATTTCTTTTTCATTATCAGATTTTATTTAAATACAGAATTAAGCAATTTTATTTGTAAAAGTGTACATTTTTAGTTTACCAAAATATATTTTCTTCTTCTTTTGCTGCTTTTTAACAGTAATACTGTTTTCAGATGATAAAGAAACTTTCATTCCACGTATTTCGAAATCACTACTTAAAATTCATAATTCTGCCAAATTCCGAAAAATAAGGTAATCTCCTAAATATATTATTTTCAATATTCGAATAAGCTTTATACATTACAGACTATAAAGTTTACTCAAACATTTATAGCAGGAATATGAATGGAATGAGAATTTTCATTTATTATAAAAAGATTTTTCATTAACACAATTTTTGCAGGTGCTAAGGCGAAATTTGCATTCAGTTACATTCCAAACCTATATTTCTATCTGCTTAACAATAGAAACTATATTTAATAATAGCTTTCCCACTGTGATAATTGGAAAAAGACATTAAATATGTATACTAGAAAACATTAATTATTTTGATTAAGCAAAAGTGTTTAATCAAAATTATAGGTAAAATTCAATTTTTAATTCGCAGCAATTCAGGGAAAATTGTGTTTGCATTTCGAGGTAATTTAACTCAAGGTCTTCGAGGAGCAAAAGAGAAACTAGTATCACATTTTTCTACATTAATACATTGTTTCTCTAAAGTTTACCCCATCAAAATTGAATTTTGATAATTCTAAAATTGGTGAGCTTCTGCTAGAATTATCATTACATGGAATGTTTCGAATATTTTGTAAAAATGGAAGAATTTCTTTAATCAAAGTTTTAGGATATAAAATCGAAAAATAGATAATTTTTAAGCCCTTTCATGTAAAAGGTGATGATTCTAAAATTATCTTATTATCAAAAGACATAACTGTTTGTCCTAATCTAATTCACGAATAAGAATAATTCTCCGTAGAATTAATAAATCAATATAATTAAATTCCCTTATTCGTTTCGTCTTATTTTTAAAAAATAAGATCCAGAAGTTCCTGCTAATTTACTTCATTAAAATTTTTAATAAAATTGCGTGAAAAATAATAAAAACAAATCTTGAGTGAATTTATTTCACTATTTTTTACATTGTGAGTTTAACTATCTAGTATTTAATATAGCACATTAATAATCTTTAAATGTAATGAATACTGAATGTACAGTAACTATAAATAATAATATTATTTTAATTTTATTCAACCGAATACGATTTAGGTAAAATTTAAGATTTTTCAATTAGGAAAGCAGAAGAAAGAAGAAAAAAATTTAAAAATTAATTAAACTACCTGAAAAAATCCTTATGATCCTTTTAAAGAAGAATTTACAATATTAAATTTTATGATACAATGCGGTTTCGGATTTCTGTTTTAGAAATAAAATACTCGTGGCATTAAATGTGCATATTTCCTCCGCTCACTCATCTGAGAATTGCAGAAAATACTAATTCTGCAATTATTGAAAAATATTCCGCATCACTAGCTTGTTTATAAATATTTTTACAGTTTTATAAAAAAAAATTAATTAAATAAAACTAACACATATAACTATCTCATATATTTATTGATAAGCATTTTAGCTTTGAGTGGACCGAAAAATTTATCGTTAAGACTCTTACAAAATTCTTTATCAATGAACGTCTATTTTAATCAGCTTTCTTAAAAAATCTGAAGTTAAGATTTAATTTTCTGATTTCTCTATAAGAATTTCGTAAATAATGATTTTAAAGTATTTTTACAGTTACAATTAAGATCCTACTGTTAAATTTGAAATTCTTTAGAAAATAACATAACGTTCTTTTTTGTTTTATTTATTTATTTTTTAAAAAAAGATAAAGTGATAGAGAAATTCCGACCACATCCCCCCCCAAAAAAAGTAGTTTCCCCCTACCTTAAATTTTCTGTCTATCGGTGAAATATTATCAATGGATAAGGATTACAATAAATACTATTGAATTTTATGTTCAGGAGTACTTGTAATAATAATATTCAATTATTAAAATCGTTTGGTTAATTTAGGTTCAGCAATTCGCAGAATTTAGTTTTTTAGGCAACATTATTCCTTAAACTAGAATAAATGTACTCCATAGTTCTAACAAAATAATCTAGGATAAAAAAAAAAAAATACCAGGACTATGGATAAAAAATCTAAGATTAAATTGCCAGAAAAATCACTCAAAAAATATATATACATATAATTTTAGTTTATAAACTCACCTTGCAAAAGCAGCGAAAAATCGTATAAATGCTTTAAGGAAACAGGAGAAATTCTTTCCCACTTATAGCGAAGAGTATCCAAGCCGGGTAGAACGCTCGTACGTCAAAAAACAATTCGAGAATATATCGCAAAACAGACTCACCCCTTTTTCACACGGTCAAAAAACGTCCCGTTTTGTTATGGTATATTCCTCCGTCGCATCCAGCGGTTATGAGTAGACTCCATGGGATGAATTGACATTCGATGCCACGAAGCAAGCAGGTGGTTCCGCGCATGCGCAGCATTCTCCTCAAACTACCTGTACCTGAAAAATGGCGGCGTCCAATCCGGGTTTCGGTGGAGATCTCTGACCCGCTAAGCACGCCATGACCGCATCACGATATACATATCAAATGCGATTCCGGCGCCTTCACTACCTCCCTAAATAATCATTTGTTAAAATGTTTTACTTGAAAATAACTAGTTTAATCTTTGCTGCTTAACGTGTAAAGTTGTTTTCTATTTGCGCATTTCGTTTTATATTAAATACAAAATTTTAATGTATCAATTCACAATTTCACAGTTCTCAGATATGCTTGTCATTCTTTTTCAGTCAGGTTGAAGTATCCCAACTAATTCTTTTTAAGTTATAGTCATCCATAGATGTAAACTGGTTTGAGAGTAGCCGTTATAATGCAAATAATGTATTTTTTTCTAGACCTACCTCACACCCAGCAAATATTGCGTACACTTTGGCATAAAAAATAAAAATGATAGGTAAATCTGTGAAATTTAGTCATTAAAGTAAAATGCGTTCAACAGTAAAATAAATAAATAAACAACAATGCCAAAAACTGAAGTAGAAACTTCAGCACATATATTCATATTTTTACGTTTAGTGTGAATCATTAAAAAATAACGTAGAAAAATGTAACTAAGTAAAATTAATTAAAAAAAAGAAAAATGTAAAAGGTTTCAGATTTTAAAACACGACCAAAGGGGCTTTTTTTTAACGTCTTGTGTGTTACCTTTATTTATTAAATATCATTTTCTTCCTACGTCATAAAATTCAGTTCAACAGCAATATCCCAAAATAATTTTAAAATGAGCATATCTTTAGAATTTCCAGTATACAGTTCCACGCCCTGGAGATAAAAAAGTTTTTTTTCCCTCCCTCATAGAGTGTTGCCATTGCTCGCTTTTACATCGTTGAGTTTGTTAATAAAAAACTCTTTAAAGTTTTAAAAAATATGAAATAGATAATAAAACAAATTCCAGATTACAAATTTGGGCTTCCAGATACAGATACCCATATGCGGGTGGAAATGTACGTTATTTAAAATTGGATGGCTCTAGGTACCGTTGTTTTATCGTAGTGTGAGAAACATACATACATTGATGCAGATTCTTCATTATTTTATTTCCTCAAATGTAATGCAAGGCGATAATATTTGATGGCAACAATTTGAAAAATGAATCGGACATTTATAGTGAACCAACGCGGAATGCCAAAGCGAGAATAACAGTAATTTGCCCTCGCGAATTGCTCCTTTGCACTAATAAATGTCTGCAAACTTTTAGATTTTATATTACGTCCAAACGAGAGATTTTTTTTTTTTTTCATTTACAGACACACACACCTTTCTAGAGCATTTGGGCTAAAAGTATTTAAAAAGCAGCATATCTTTAGAATTTTCGATAGACAATCTGGCGCGCTGGAGATAAAAATGTCTTATTCCTTACAGTGTTGCCACTGCTCGCTTTGAAAGTGTTGAGTTTTTTAATCAAAAATTCATTAAATTTTACAAAATATGAAATAGACAACGAAACAAATTCCAAATTAGGGCTTGCAGGTGCCCATGTTTGTAGTGGAGGGCTATATTATTCAAAATTTGATGACTCTCTGTACCGTTGTTCTTTCACAATGCATACATTCATGTAGATTCTTCATTACTTATTTTCTTTAATATAAATATAGGGCGATAATATTTGGTGGCAACAATTTGAAAAGTGATTCGGACATTAGTGAGACGACGCAAAATGCCGTTTCGCGACTAATAACCCTTCTGGGCTAACAAAGTCGAGATAGGTCAGAAAGAAATTTAAAGTGGTAAAGTTCAGATTAAAAAATAAATGGCTCTGCTTTTTATAAAATTCTTTTCATTTTTACTATGCAGATTAATCGAAGAAAAATAAAGAGCTGATAGAGTTTCGTTGATTAATAGTTCTCAGTCTCATGACAGTAGATGTAGTTATATATAATATCAACAATAATAATGATAAATACGATTAAATGTCAAAATTTTGCTTCTGTCACAGCGAATAAGGTTAACAAGAATATTTCGATATATGAAGGAAGCTAAAAAATACCTGCAAAGTCAAGATCTAACAAAATGCCTCTTTGGATACATCAAATTTTGGCTAATATCAGCATTAAGATGAGGTTGTGGCATGTGATTTAACGCATCTTTCATAAATTTTAGCTTAAAACGTTACCAGGTTTAGTTCGTCACAAGCACTGAGATGAATATTTCCATGGCAATTTATAGAATCAGGAACAAGAGTAAAATGTTTAGGCTCTTGTGTTAGGTACACTGCGGGGGGAAGAGACACTTCTATATTTCCCGTTCTATTCGGCCGATTGACGAAATTCAAATTGCGTTTTTCATGTCTCGAAAGAGCGACTTAGAATATATACATGATATATACAGCATTGTTCTAATATAGGTATTTTGATACAAAAAATCATTATTATCATCATCAGTTTTCATCATATTATCATCATCAGTTGTCATCCAGTATTTTGATACAAAAAATCGGACTTTTTCTGAAATGACATGCCAATTGTTTTCCGTATTTCCCCTCTATGCCTCAAATTAATCCTAAATATTAAATTTTGTAAAATTTGGTGCAAAATTTACGGAGAAATTAAAAAAAGTTATCTTGGCGTACTTTTTTCCCGTTTTCGCCGAGAATAATTTATTTGGCGAACTACTTAATTTATAGCAACCTATTTTCCATTTCTTTTTACTTCCTTGTACGAAGTAAAAAGGAAGTATTGTAATCGCGAAAAGTTTCAGGCTAGCATATTTCAACGAAAATATCCATTTTGACCGCTATCGAATGCAATTTAACGATGTTTTTGCGTGATATCTGTACGTAAGGACAGAATAAAAGACTCGTTTCCTCCAAAAAAAATTATAAAACTGCTTTAAAATGAATTCTGGAGAGAATTTTTTGTGGCGTCTTTACGAACGTATGTACGTACATGCGTACGTACGTATCTCGCATAACTCAAAAACGAGTAGCCTCAAGAACGTTGAAATTTTGTATATAGGACTGCTATAACATGTAGATGTGCACCTCGTATTTTGGTTGCAATCGGCCGCGCCAAACGTATATAAATATATTTATATATATATCCACTCCGTTACCCGGCTCAGTAATCTCAGCTTCTTTACTCTTATATGTTTATAAATTGTACATTTTTTGCTTTAAAAATTATTGAATTATGTTGTTCTTATCTTCTGGTTAAGGTTTTTATGCCTTTAGTAAATCTGTATGCAATATTTTTAGAATTATCAACAATTGTAAAGTTGTTTAATTGCCGCTAAGCCTGTTTTTAATGGCGGCCATTGATGTTTACATTTGAAACAGGAGACTAGTGGATTTGTTGCCAATCTAGAGAAACTTAGCTTCGCAACAACAAAGATAACGCCTTCATTTATTATTTAAATCATGCTTAATCCTTTCTGGAATTTTTTCGAGGAAATAAGCGTTTAAGTTTTACTTCGTAATTTTTAATATAGATATTTTGAGTTTTTATGTATTTTTGCCTTCTCGCGAAGTGAGAACTGAATTAATTGAATGAACAATACTCAATCGTCTGTGAAAAACTGTTTCTTTTTTGTTTTGTTTGCTTAATTTCTTTTATACATCATTCTAGCTTTATTATAGTATTTGAAAAGAACATATGGCAACGATTAGCTAATTCGGTTCTTTAAATGATATAAATTTTGTGCGTTATGAGTTATAATATGAACGAAATATAATACTGTTAAGTGAATCTAGCGCCAGAGTGTCGCTATGGTAAACAAATACTAGAGTGAATTTTAAAGAATGCATTTATTGTATTGTGGTTTATGCGCTGTTGGTGAAGTAGATTTAATTTAATACAATAAGTTTAAATGAAATGCAGGAAAAAATGCATATAATTTAACATTCCGTGCAAGGAAGTCATGTGGTGTACACATCAGATTTTTTTCATTGTAGACGAGCGAAAAAGAAGTCGTCGTTCATAGTTTAAAATAATTTTAACAAAGTGCATTGGTGCATTTGGTGTTGTTAGCGCTTTCAAAAAAAGATGCCAAATTTCAAAACGCTCCACTATGTAAATTCATGTATATCTTCGAAAATTTTTAATAAAAAACTCTAATTTTTTGCTGGTGTGTCTAGAAGTCCCTCTATTTTAAGACGATGTTAAAAATTTTATAGGTTATAATACAACAATGTTTTCAAAAAATTTATAAAAAATATTTAAAATACAAATTTAAAAAATAATCATAAAAACTTGAGGATTATATTGGATTAAGCCTAAATTTCGAATGCTCGAGGAAGGAATCAAGTAAGTTTAATAAAAAATATATATATATACTACATATATGTTGACTTTTCAAGGGGAACAAACCAACTCCCGTTCAATGAACAATAATTAACAAATAAATACAAAGGTGTTTCGTCCTTTACTCGAGCAATAAGGGGAAGGTAAACCGGACAATTCAAGGAGTGTGTGTGTGTGTGATTATGGCAAAGCCTCGAGGGCTATCTGCCTAAGGGGAGGGATGCCTTCGTGGAGGACTTTCTAAGGGAAACTGGCTCGTATACACGTTACACATGGGGAAAACCACGAAAACGCCCATGCAGCCAGCCCGTTCGCGGGATTCGAACCTCGGACCGAACTACCAGTGTTCAGCGACTTTACCGCTCGGCCGCTGGTGGGCCGGACAATTCAGGTCAGGCCAAATATTTTCGTGAATAGAAGGGATTAAGAACAACTGATATCCAAAGAACTCATTGAAAAGAAATAATAATATAATTATTATTATTATTATTATTATTGCTGCGAACTAATTTACAATATCATTTAAATTCTAAGAGCATATGTAAATTAATTGCACGTATCTAAAACCATGTAAAAATATATTATTCCAAAAAATTGCATAAGTGAATAATTGTTGAGCAAGCAG